GCCTAAGGTATTGTTAGGGAAAGCGGAGTGCCAGGGACGTAGGTGGCAGACTCCAAAGCGGATTTAGCAAATATGTGAGAGTGACGAAGCATCAATCGATTGGGTCTTGTCGAAAAAAACACAAGGTTGCTGCATCTGCCAAGCACGGACCACCAGCACCAGCTCTGGGTGGTGCTAAGAGTAGCTCACCTCTCACCTCTCACTCACCTCACTGAAGTCGGGAGCGGTTTGTCAGGCCTCATTGGCTCCAGGCGGCTCCAAGTGGCTCCCCAGTGGTGCGGCGTGCAGGCTCTCTGCAGCTGTGCAGCCGTGCCAGCTGAGGCGGCGGAAGGGGCACCAGGAGCACTGAGATACTTCCAGCGCGTTGGTCCCGGTTCCGGTACGTACCTGCTTTGGCGTGGTGCGTCTGGCCTGATGAACGTCTCTGATTGGCCGACTCTGCGATCGTACTGGAGCCTACTGAATCGCCGCATTGGAAGAAAATAGGGACCCTTAGTGGAGCCATGGAAACCAAGTCAACAACGTCACTCCCAGTGTCGGCCCTCGGGAACTGACGGCGGGACACTGGCCGCAGATAGAAACATTCTGATGTCTGGATACAAAAGGAAATATCCACCAACTCAGACTCTCTATCATTCCCCCGGGACCTGAGGCATACATTTTAACAGCTCAAATAACCCTCGCTCAAGTAACGGAAACCTTGAGACTACGAGGGTCAGTCGATGTCAATCTCATCGTCATCCTGCCCCATCTACGCCTCTGTGGAACATTCCACCCGAAGTCTGTTGACTCGCAACCAACTCACAATCTCCGGGGAATGCTTCTGGTGAGAGCCCTGCTTATGCTATCCATGGTTCAACGTAGCCAATGAGCAACCCGGTTTTTAACACCATTTCGAAAAAGGCCAGACGGGACTTACATGCGAACTGGCTCGGTCCTGTTGTCAACCGGAGGTATATCGCCGATCAACCTGAGCTGCCAGGATGCTAAGAGAAGGACTCACAGCTGATTTCATATTTCTTTGGATCAGGCCATCAGTGTAGTAAACGGGTTACACTTGGCCTAGATCGCCATAAGTGGACTTCCAAGGTAGTCTGCACATTTGGTTTCCTCTGAAACTTAGTCCCGAGCTGGGGATTTGGAGCCGAGCTGTCCTCCGACTTCAATTTCCTAAGTTCCTAGAACTTCACAGAAGGCAGGCGACATATATGCCTTCATACTGGCCAGCGATATTGCACGGGACACGCGCCAGTAGCTTTCACTAGCTCTTTCACACCGCAGCATCCTTTGTGCGGCTTGTACAGCTTTTCTTATTAGCTGTCTTTTCTTTATCAACACAACCGTCAACGACAATGATTATGATAACGAGGAAAATGAGACTCAACTCGGCCAAGGTGGCCCTCATGGGTCGCCAGTACTCAACTGCCATGGCCATCACCGACCCGCTCGTCAAATACCGCACCCTCATCTCCACCAAACTTCTCGCCCCAGACCCCTCTCAACACCGGCTGGCTATCCATCTTCAAAAACTGTATACCCGTTTGAAAGACTACGCCCCGGAAGAGGACTATCGGGAGCGCCTGAAGCAAGTAGCCGACATCCCCGAGGCTCAGGACCCCGAAGAGGCCGCTGCAAGATTGGCCATGCCAAACCATCCCATATGGGATAACCCGCTGTTCAAGCATGTGTCAAAGAAAATCATGCCCGAGACGAAAGACCCCAACCCGATGGCTCTCGTCAGAGTCATGACCAGCCTTGAGGGCGCCATCACCATCAATTCCCCCAGGGGCCTCTTCCTCTCAGGCGAAGTCGGCGTCGGCAAGTCAATGTTGATAGATCTGCTGGCTCAGGGCCTGCCGACAGAGAAGAAGAGGCGGTGGCACTTCAACACGTTTATGCTCTACACATTCTCACAGCTCGAGAAGTTCCGCCAGTCTCACCCAGAGCTAAGCGGCAACGAAAAGGAGTACTCCATGCTCTGGCTCGCCAAGAAACTTGTCGAGGAGTCTCCGATCCTGTTCCTGGATGAGTTCCAGCTTCCGGACAGGGCAGCAAGTAAGATCCTGTCCCACCTGTTCATAGCCTTCTTCCACCTCGGCGGGGTCCTCATCGCATCATCCAACCGCATGCCTGAGGAGCTACAGAAGGCCATCGGTGTCGAGTACACTGTTCCTCCGTCAGACGGGTTCCTGAAGAGTCTCTTTCTTGGTGGCGCGCGATCCAAGGCTACTCTCCACAGTCAAAACGACTTTGCAGCTTTTCTGGAAGTGTTGAAGGCGCGATGCGACTTTTGGCACATGGAAGGGGCAACGGACTTTAGACGTCGAGAAACTGGTGAGACTATTGCAGTCGAGGCCCCTGTAGCTGGCTTTATAGGCGGGGAGGAGCTGGCTAAGAAGGAGCCCAAAGACGGTATGTTTGTTGCCTTTACTGGCCTTAAATTATGCATACGATCCCCTTTTCATGCAACTCAATACCCACCCACCTCATCATCTTTACTCAAACTTGCACGAATGCGTCCTATCTTAATCAAGTTACCAGACTAACATCACTAGAAACATCAACACCTTCCAAGTACTTCCTCCTCACGCCCGACACAACCCCTTGGACAACCGCCCTAGCCCAGCACCTCTCCCACCCATGGTCCTCAGCAACGCTGACAGTCTACGGCCGCACAATCCCCATCCCCCGCCAATACGGCGGCGTAGTCTACTGGGATTTTGACGCCCTCGTCGCTACCCTCGGCCCGGCCGACTACGTAACCATGGCCTCGACCTACCACACCTTCATCATCGACAATGTCCCTACCCTCACGGCCCTGCAGAAGAACGAAGCCCGCCGCTTCATCACGCTCCTAGACGCCCTCTACGAAGCAAGGTGCAAGTTGTTCGTCCGCGCCCAAACCGGGCCCGACGACCTCTTCTTCCCAGACATCCGCGCCCAGGAGGAAGCCGTGGCGGCTACTGCCGCCGCCGGGGAGGAGGTCGTCGACTCTGACGCGATCCACTCTGAGACGATCGCCGAGGTTTACCAGGACTCCGCGGCGCCGTTCAGACCCAACATCTCCTTCTACGACACGGAACTCCCGACGGCCAAGTATGACCCCGACCAAGACTCCGACTTTGGCAAGCTGGGTCACGTTGGTGGCGGCGGCGGGAGCCCCAACTTCAGCAACACGGCAGCGTTTACGGGTGAAGACGAGCGGTTTGCGTACCGTCGTGCGGCAAGCAGACTATGGGAGCTGTGTAGCGAGGCATGGCATGCTCGAGGAGGTTCACCTGGGGAGTGGTGGACTCCTGTGCCCCGGGCATCGCGGCACTGGGAGAACTCCTTGCCATCCAAACCCAAGAAGGACGAGCCTCTGCCGCCGCGCGCCAGACAGGCGGATGCCATGATGGGTCCGTCGAGGCCTGTTGACGGACCGTTCGGTACCGACAAGCTCGTTATCGAAAGACGAGAAGCTTTGGAGGAGGCGGAGCGCAGGGTCGAGCAGTCCAGTGGGAGGTGAAGTTTTTGGTTGTTTGGAATATCCATGATTTAGGATAGCATATACCGGCGCATAGCATAGCATTTTGGCGACGCTGGGCCCACGCACGCGCCCGTCGCATCGGGCGATATAGTCCTTTGAGTCTCGTGATAGATATCTTACAACGCCGCCAGGAGAACCTGGCCCGACAACATAGACTCGCAATTCGATTTACAGTACCTCCGGTCTTAGAAACGCCATAAACTCCTCATCCTGGAAGCTTTCCAACCGCCTCACAGCGTCGTGACGCCAGGCGTCCATGCCTCACCAATTCTCCGTACATCCCCCTCAAACTTCTTGCTCTTGATCACCCTGCCCCCGTGTCCAGACACCGGCGAGTGCTCGTCGGGCTCATAAAAGGGGTTCTGCAGCAACCTGACGTAGGCGCTCTGCACCGCCCTGAACACGACCCGCAACTCCTGCTCACGAAGCCCGACAGCTCCCCGTCCTTTGGCAGAAGCTGCAGCGGCGTCGCCGCCGCCGCCGACCCTCCGCCCGCGCATGTCCACGACGACGACGATCTTGACGCCCGTGTTCGTTTCCCAGCCGTACGCGGCGAGCCGCTCGTCAACCGCGTGGAGGAGGCCGACCTCGCCTGAGAGACCGGAGCCCCCACTGGGAGCACCTGCCGCGTTGGGCCCGCTTGCGTTGTGTCGTAGTTCAAAGATATCTAAGGTCGAGGAGAGGAGGAGGGAGAACTGGAGGGGCGTGCGGATCGGGGCGAAGGTGTTTGTTGACGGGTTGTACGAAGGGAATATGGAGATGTGGAGGGGGTTATTCTGTTGCTCTCGTCAGCAAGTGTTGTCCCTGCCAAAGAGCTCCAGCCAAGGATGGGCAGTTTGAGGAAGAGCTCTGGAGCATGCGGAGGGGGTGGTCTGTCTGCGAGTTGGACGTACGTTGCGGCCGATGATGCCTATGCAGGCTATTGAGGGGATCGCGGTCGCCATAGCCACATTCGCTGTGCTTCCTTGCGCTGTGCTGGTTTCGGTTGGCGCTGAATTTGCGGCGGAAGATGCGCAATGCGGTTGATGGACACGGTATGCTAGAGGTCGAACGTCGTCGCAGAGGACGGTTGGAGATTGGAGAGCTGGGGTAGGTAGGTACCTTAGCTGTGGTGTCGGCGGGAGCTTAATTGATTTTTGGGTCCCCCGAGTGCCCCGCATCGATGTCAGGGGTCGCTGTGGGAGGAAAGGCAACGGATCTTCAACGGCTGCCGCTGCGTAGCTAGCACTCGGAGCAATGTCAATATTAACAAAATCGCCTCTGGTGGTCAAATATGTGTTTTGCAGCAGTCAGCATATTGCAGACTTTCTGGTAAAATAGAGTTACATATTGTAAAGAAAAATCCATTACTCCAGTAACCATCATACAAGCTGGTAAAGATGGACCATGAGACGAGCTCTCGTACTCGTGCTTGGTAACGAAAGCGCCAGACCAATAAAGCCCATATTCCGCATAAAGACATTATAGATCCTCATTCGGCATCGTCGTCCGACCAATGCTCCGTATCCTCGAGTCCCTTCAGCACTTCTTCGATCTCGTTCGGGTCGGTGATGGCCCATACGCCACCGCCTTTGACCGAGTCCTTTCCTCTCATGCCCACCTCTTTTCCGACGAGGTTGCGTCCGACCTTGCCGGGCCCGATACCAATCCACCGCCTCACTTTCTCCTCCTGGTCGAGATATTTGATACTGTCCCACCACCTCACCGTCTCTAGACACTGCCGCGCTAGAAGATCCTTCACGTCCTCCTTGCTCTCGAATGGCCTCGCGCTGACATTGCTTATACAGGGCAGCTTGCCCGGGAATGTGATAATATCCTCCCCTTCACGCCCCTTGACCCTGCTCTTTTTGTTCAGAATGCTCTTCACAACCGAGACCGCAGGCTTCATGATCGGGCTGTGAAACGGGCTGTCGCTGTTCAATCGAACGGCGCGCGGGTCATGCCCCAAGAACTGCCTGACGTGTGTCGCAAGAGTCTTGATCCGCTCAATGTTGCCGCTCAACACGATTTGGTTCTTGCTGTTGATGTTCGCAATGAGCACCTGCTCTATCGGCGGGACGTCTTCCGAGCTCTCCCCCTTGGATCCCGCGCTCGAGTGTCCCACAAAGTCGTGTATAGCCTCGATCAGGCCCTTCAAGTACTCCGGTTCTGTTACAATAGCCACCATGCCGTACTCTCCACCGTATTCGTCCACAGCGCGCCTTGTCGCCTCATGCATGGCCTCGGCCCGCTTGCGCACCAGATATAAGCTGTCTTCGAACTCGAGGTATCCGCCCGCCACCAGCGCCGCGAATTCTCCCAGCGAATGCCCAAGAGTGACGTCAACTCGCTGTGGAATGTCGAAGCCGAACTCGCGCTCCAGGATGCGGAGGATGAGGATCGAGGTCGCCATGATGGCGGGCTGGGCGTTGGGAGTCTTCGTAAGCAGCTTGCCGGGCCCGTTGGCGATGATGTCGGAGAGCTTGTAGCCCATGTAGTGATCAATCTCCTCCAGGATGGGCTTCGCCGTCGTGGGGAAGGCTTCGAGCCATGGTGTGATCATGCCGACCTTCTGTACTCCTTGGCCTGCGCGGTGTAACGTCAGCTCATCCGTCGCCAGCAAAGACGAGTTCGCCCCTCTTTCCGTTCCCCTCCTCGCTTCATGTCCACTGACCTGGAAAGAACAGCGCCGTCCGCGGCCGCTTCCCTTGCGTCGAGGCATGCCGCCGACTACTCCTGGAAGCAATGTCTATCGTATGTGTCGTCGTCGCATTACATCTTCTGCCGAGGCAGCCGAGCCCATCAGCCCATATGCGTTGGCCGCCTCGGCGGAGGGAGTGAGCTCCGGGAGCTGTCATGGCCAGTGGCGCCAGCCGATTACAAGCTGGGGGAGCTAGATTATCGCCAACATGAGCTTGTGTCGACAACTCCCATGCGAATTTTGAAGCAAGCACAAAGAGCCTAGAAGGACTAAGAGGGAGAGAAGTAGGAGAGGGAACAAAAAAGTAGACGAGTCTCAAGTTTGCGCGAACCAGACCGTCAAATGTCACACAGCCAACCTAAGCCACGGGCGGCATAGGGAACGTGGTAGTGGCGTTCAATGCCATGACGCCAGATGGAATTGGCGGATGCTCCAAGTGGCCGCCCCTAACCGAAGTCCCGAGGCCGATGGACCTCTCGCTAGAGTACCCCGCGATTGCACGCTGAAGACGATCTCTTACAGCGCGTTTTCTGGGTTCCGCTGCGCCGGGCGGGGCACGTCAGCAGATGCTCAGCAGATCAAGTCAGGGGCCAGGGGGGGCCGATGCGATGGAGATCTGTAGATTCCTTGTTGGATGCCGAGTCTTGAAGAGTCATAGCTCTTCGATTGAGGCACCAGACATTGAAGCACATGGCTAGAATGCGTCAGAAGCAACAGCAGTGTCAATCACCGTTGCCATCTTGATATGTCTTCTACCTTAGTGCCCGACTAGCCGTTAAGCTAACAGAGTCATTGATCGAGAAGCATGTGAAATAACCAATGTTTTTCAACTCTAAGTCATTATTTTCGCCTGACCCCGCCGACTAACATCGCGTTTCTACACCGCCCTTGCTGACGGTCAAGTACTTGACTCCTTTGTATGGTTTAACACCCTCTCCCAGGCCTTTGCTCTTGCGAGGGTCAATCAAAATGCTTTCCACTTTAAGGCCACTCGGTAGCCAACCCTTCACTGAGAAGCTCACCGAGGCTGAGCTGGGCATCAGCATCTTATTTTGCGCCACTTTCTTCGCGTCTTTCTCGTCGTCAGCCTTTTCCGTCGTCTTCTTTGCCCTGACGGGGCTTGTTGCTTGATAGGGTTCATCGTAGGCATACGACTTCCCGAATCCGAATCCAGTAGGGTCCAGCTCATCGTCCTCATCGTCAGGCAGCTGGCCAACAACTGTACACCTAAGACCGAAGTAAGAAGTGCCGACTGACAGCTCCTTTGTAGGAATGTGCCACTCCAGAACCTTCTCACCAGGACTGAAGCTCGCGTCTCCCTTGCTAGGCCGCAATTCCGGGAGGTTTCTAACCTCAGCTGGCAACGGCACCGTAACGATGAGATCTTCCATCAGCGGCGACGCAGGTGTTCCAGCATGGGGACCTCCGAATCCTCGACCTGCCCCGCCTCCGCCTCTGCCATACTGGCTTTGTGCAGACGGACCTCCTGTGCCTAGAACCTTGTTCACGTGAAGCCGAACCTCGAAATCAGAACCTGTCGGTCCTAGTCCAGTTTTCATCTCAATGTTGACAGGCAACTTCAGATTATTTGAACTGATGTTGCCACTCTTGCCGCTTGTGAACGGGAGCAAGTCGACTTCGTAGCTAGCCAAGATGAACCGGCCGTCTGGGGGTATGAAGCTCAGCTCCCCTGGCCTCTCTTTCCATCTTGCCAGACGAACACATGGGTGGAACACAGGGAGGTCCATGAAACCCGCCAAGTTGTGTTTGCCCGATGGACTTGTTAATGTCATGACGATGTCAGGTACGCCTGACACCTTACAGGTGAATGCTATTGTTCCATTGGAAAAAGCCGCCAATGGTCTCCCCGAAGGAGCAAGTGTGACTGTAAGAGTCTCGACGATATCTGCGTACATCTCGTTGGAGGTATGTCGTACATTGGCTCGACGCCAGGGTAAGGCCGGAGTATTTTGTGCAATTATCGACGGTGCGCTCGAATTCGAGAAGCTTGTGCCAAAGTTTACAGGCTTCCTGCTCAGAGTGTCAGATGCGGCTCGTCTTGAGCTCTTGAAAGTATCTCTTACCCTGGTAAATTGATGCTCCCCAACAGCTTTCCTACCCATCCCTCAACCTCGACCAAATCCCTCAGCGCATTTGGTTCCGTGGTGTTGATGTTTCCGGCATCGCACATCTCGTTCAAAAGCTGCGCTACGACATCGTAGTTGCTCTCGATCTTGTGCGCCAGCAAGGGAGCACCAAGGAACTCTTCAAACACATCGATTATGCGGTGTATGAACTCGAGGACGAGGAGAGGCTCGATATCGGACGAGGAAGTCGCCAGGAAGAGGAGGTTGGCGTGCTTGAGGCTGAAGACGAGCGTCGGAGGACTTGTGTTTGGCAGGTATAATACGTTCGGGCGCGGCGCAGGATGCTCTAGGTAGAGGGGTAGGAGATGCTGTGCCGACAGCGGGCGCCCCGTGTACGTGTGCGACAGGATGGCATGGCTGCGCGGTGTCAGTATATCTCACTGAACGGGCCGACCTCAAGAGATGACTGACTTGTGCTCATCGTAGATGTGCAGCGCCTCAATAACGCCGTTCATCGTCAGGTCGGCATCGGAGGCTGCGCCGTGTAGTTGATAAGTGTATGGGGGGAGGTTCTGGCTCTCCCTCTTGGTGACAGTTGGTGCTTGGCCGCTGGCGGGAGCTCCAGCTGCCAGGAACCACCGTCCCGCCATGGCGCACATGCTCGATGATGAAATTAAATGTTAGTGCAAGGGAGCGGCTCCTCCCAGCCAATCACGCGCCACGCAACCCTGCTTCCATTTCAAGCTCCCCGGATTGTACGGTGCATCGGAGCCTTTGGTCGCAAAAACACCTGACGATCTTCCAAACCTCTTGGGGCAGTTCAAGCACCACACAACAGCCATGTTTGGAGGAGGAGACAAAGTCCCCAACGTGGGTACCCTCGACAAGCCCGAGAAGCTTGACGATCTCCTGCGCGAGGACCGCGGCGATGATTGCATGTCCTGCAGAGTTGTCGGTAAGAGCAATGCGTTCCCATGCCGTTGTAGGCGGCAAAATACTAATGTTATTGCATTCAGGAAGCGGTGCATTTCTCGGTCTTGCAGCCTACAACTACATGTCCGGAATGGGCCAACTCGAAAAGAACCGTCCGTTAATCCTCAAGTCCAAGTCAAAGTTCGGTATGCAGAGTCGCAAGATGGGCATTATCAGCATCTCCATCGGCTTGACATACTTGGGAATCTGGAGATTCTTCAGATAATGAGATGCAGGCCAACAAGGCACTTGGAAGCTTTAATCACCACTCAACCCATACACATACACACGAGATGAACTCGTCGGCAGGCTCAGAAGAGACGTTGCGGAGGTCAACCCAGGGCCGTCGCATCGACAGCCAGCTGTAGTGCGCAACACGAGACGCCAGGGGAGCAGTCATGTCGCCGGTTGGGGCAGATATTTCCCTCCCATGCGATTGCAGGGACTGTTCATGCCTCTCGCCATCTGTGCAGCGAGCAGATGTTGTATGGATGCGCTCAAAAGCTGCGACAGAGCTGTACCATATACCCATGTATGAATGAAGAACTCTAGCTTGTAATCAATTCAGTAAAAGAAAACAATTCATTCTATGCACCTGGACGGGACTTTTTCTGTTGTTGGGTTGCCAAAATGCAGTAGCTCGGCGACGGTCCATCAACCGCATGCTCTGATCTGCCCCTCCATAGCTTCACCAAAAATTCTTTGCACTTCAATGTCAACCACGCAACACCACCACAATACCCCACGAAACCCAGCCAACTTTGCGATTGGCGCCTAAAATCGAGAGAAACGAGCTCAAAATTTCCCGACAATCCAAATTTCGCCTGGAACCGACTGAGATCTAGCATTACCGTCCCGTCCCGTCCTCCTACGGCCTCGTCGCCGTCCTCTCTTCAGAATGCCCATCACAATCCTCGCCCCGAGAGGCACACCGGCACGGCCAAAGCTTGCACAACGCCCCAGCGACTCCGACTCAGATTCCGATGGCGGCGTTGACATTGAGGGCGATGTCTCCATGTCTCGCCTAGCGAAGCGCCCCCGCGGCGACAACTACGAGATTGTCACGCCTGGTGAAGTCATCACCGACGACCCCCAGTGGATGAGGTTCGTGCAGCGCCGCCTCCCCTCCCCCGTTTCTCTTTCTACTGCACCGATGCACTTCTGAAGAGATATGTAATCTGACTTCCTACGCAGAGGCCACGGCACCTACATCACCCCGAGCACCACCGAAATCGTCTCCTCCGTCGCGGGAACCGTAACCCGCACCAACAAGCTCCTCTCCGTCCGTCCCCTGCGCGCCCGCTACACCCCCGAGATCGGCGACCTCGTCGTCGGCCGCATAGTCGAGGTCCAGGCCAAGCGCTGGCGCGTCGACGTCGGCTCCTCGCAGCTCGCCATCCTCCAGATCTCCGCCATCAACCTGCCCGGCGGCATCCTCCGCAAGCGCACCGACACAGACGAGCTCCAGATCCGCTCCTTCTTCGCCGAGGGCGACCTCGTCGTCGCGGAGGTCCAGCAGCTGCACCAGGACGGCGCGGCGAGCTTGCACACCCGTTCTCTGAAGTATGGCAAGCTGCGCAACGGCGTCTTCTGCGCGGTCACCGGCACTGGGGGCGGCGGCGGTGTGGTGCGTGCCAAGAGGCAGCAGTGGGTGATGGACGCGGCGAGGGGCGCGGCAAAGGTTCACATCACGCTCGGCGTCAATGGGTTCATCTGGATTGCGAAGCATGTCGAGAGCGAGATGCCCGAGTCAGTCGGGCTGAACCGCATGGAGGAGAGCGTGAGCGCCAACGTCTACTCCAGCCAGAACGACCAGATCGATGTCGAGACCATGCGGGAGATTGCGCGTATACGGAGTGTGATTTTGGCGCTGGTGGAGAACGGCCTGCGCGTTGACGAGGACTTGGTAGTCAGGGGCTACAAGGAGGCTGTCGAGATTGGAATGGAGAGCGTCGAGGACGACATCTATCTTGGAGGTGAAAGGGGGAAGCGGCTTGCAGAGGCCTTGCTAAAGGAGTAAGCATATCACTCGGCTACATTGGGGACGTTCGAGAACCAGGAATAGATCATGTTCGTGGAAAATGTCTTGAGACCAAGACTCTAATAGACAAGAAGGGTTCAGTGCAATCACCAAGAAAAACCCAGAGTCCGCCAGACACAGGAACGCTATGCAGTATTTATCTATAGGCCATATTGTTCGGCCATGGTATCATTAATCCCAACAGCACGACAAGAAGGAGCCTCTCAGGAGGTCTCCACGAGCTCCGCGCCAGCGAAATATCCCTTGTTCTCAATTACGCCTCGGTCCTTGACGAAAGCCGTGTACTTGACAACCCATTCCGGCACGAGGTCGCCGTACAGACCCTCGCCGCCTTCAAGAGGGTCAGCGAGGACGCCAGCGCCCTGCAGTCCGTGACCCAGAAGCTCGCGGAGGGTGCCGCTAGGCAAAATGTCGGTGCAGTCGGTGTGGACAAGCAATTCGACGCCCTCTGTCTTGGCCAGCTTGACGAGAGTGGGCGGCACGCTACAGCAGTCCTTGGTGTTGATCTGGTCAACGGCGGGACGGATATCGACCTTTTTGATGAACTTTGCAAGCTTCTCGGTGCCGAATTCAGAGATGCCGAGGGCCTTAACCTCACCGCGGCGGTACAGGTCCTCGAGTACCATCCACGTCGCGGCCTCCTGGTCGATGTTGCCTTGGCTGGCGTTGCGCTTGTCAGCCTCCCACTCACAATCTCCCTCGAAGGACATTCCCGGGAATGAGGCGATCAGAAGATCTATCGTGGTGACGCCGAGTTCCTTCCGGACGAGGTCCAGCGCCTCCTGCACGTAGCGCTCGCGTTCTTCAGCAGGCGCGTTTGGGAGGAAGAAGAGCTTGACAGTGATATCGTAGTTTGTCGGCTCCTCTTGCAGACCAGAGTAGGACCAGTCTATCCGTGGAATGTAGAGGGCACCGTCTTCGCGAGCGGTCCAGATATCGAGGCGGGGCCGGCCAGAACGACCGTTCTCGCCGTTGGAGTAGCCATTCGAGTTTCCGTTCAGGGTTCCGTCGGCCTCGTCATCGTCGATGGGGGATGCCTCCGAGTAGGGCGAGTAGTCCTGCTGAGCAGCGAGAAAGTTGCTTCGCAGCGAGTTGGTGAGTTCGAGGTTTGATCTGTATGCGCCTGGTTTGCGGATTATGGAGGGGCCGCCCGAGACAATGTTTCTGCACGCGGCGGAGGATCACCAATCAGCTTCAGGGCGCAAGTATGAATAATCAAAGAAAAATTGGGAAAATGCAACGCACCCCGTGGATAGGATTAGTTTCGTCATGACGGGCGGGTAATTATGGAGGTCGTAGAATATTCGTAGGGAGACGTGAGGTTGAATTTGGCTCTGAGACCTGGTCGATCGGAGCAGATTGCGTCGTGAAGGGTCCGTATCGCGCAATATGATGGTGTCGATTTGACGCCTGTCGCACTTTTTTCTGGGTGCCGTACTTTTTTTTAGAGTTTGGAGGGGTTGATTAACAATCTGAGGGGAGAGGGTGCCGATAAGGATAGGCTTGGTAATGTCGGTAATCACAGGTCAGAGAGGTCAATTAATAATGGTTGGCGCACGGCATGCGAGATTCGGCTTATTGTGGGAGATAAATCGGAAAGATGCGGTGCAATGTGCCGTGCCTGGTGTGGACGTCGTGAAGAGTATGCAATGCCGGTATGTGGATGGCTTCTAGAAGATGTTGAAACCTGGGATCCCTAGGTGGAAAGATCTTTTGTTTGTTGATCGATTGGTAGCGTGGTTTGTTTGAATGGAATAATTGAGGACAAGAGCGGGAAGGGCGTCGGAGGCTGGAATTGGTGCCCTTTTTCATAGACGGGCCGGAGAATCGACGAGTCGTCTCAGTGACAAAAATGGATGACTGAATCAAGACAAGAATCGTCGATTTCCCTTGTCTAAAGACGCTGTCCGCACATTCCCCCTCACCATCCCACCTTCCACCCCTCCTCTTCCGCGGTGAACTCGGCAGGAGCCCGACTCCGAGGGGCAGGTCATTGGCGCATAGTGGGGTGTAGCATATCGCGTCAGCGCCTCTGGGCAGATTTGTATGCACTTCAGCGTGCTGAGGCGTATCTCCCCCCACTGGCCACGACCTATGAGCTGCTGTTGTCTGCTTGAATCGTCGTGGTTTGGCTCTGTCCGACTCAGACCTACATCTCACGCTGAAGATCTGAGGCACGAAGCCATCGGACGCCTTCTCCCGAGCACCAAGCTTGTTTTGCAAGGACCTAGATAGGCTTTGGTTCATGGGGTACATCCGCTGGAGAAAACCCAGACCCGAGAATTCCCATAGCGGGCTAACACACTGTGGCGCGCTGCTGACTTCCACCGAGCGCCCTGTAGCCTCCCTGGGCTCACCGAAGGCCTAGTCCCGTTAGCTACGGATATGCCTGCTGCCTGAGGATACAGCACCTGCCAGAATTGACACCTTGCGCTGCCGAGCCTGACGTGACCCCGGCTTCCGCCAAGGGGGAAAGAACACCATCGACGACCGAACCACGCCTTGTGCAATAGTTCGTCGCCAACCTTACTCTGCTGCTTGGTCTGCTCTGCTCAGCCGCCGTACTGCATCGGACTGCACTGGATTGAGATCCACACAACATCTCCCAAGACCATCTCTCGACCCAAACATCTTTCTAGTCCACCCTGCTGGGTGATGTGAAAGCATCATCATGGCCATCCAGTATGCTCCCCCATCACCCTGTCTGCTGGTGCATCCGAGCAAAATAGCTGAATGACGGCGCAGATACCTCATTCTTCTCTCCCGTCAGGGCAAAGTGGTATGATCTCATCCCTTGGACACGAATTCCGTCGGCGACTACATTGCTGACCACGTCCCCTCTGCAGCGTCTGGCAAAGTGGTTTACCACGTTGTCGCCTAAGGAGAAGGCCAAGATTGTCAAGGACGTCTCCCAGCTGGTTCTGGCTCGCAGAACTCGCATGTGCAACTTCTTAGAGTACAAGGGTCAGTTTCCCCTCTTCATACGTATCGACAGCACCAACTGATGATCCTCAGACTCAAAGATCGTATACCGCCGATATGCCTCGCTCTTCTTTATCGCCGGTGCCGCCTCCGAAGACAACGAACTGATCACCCTCGAGATCATCCACCGCTACGTCGAGCAGATGGACAAGTACTACGGAAACGTGTGCGAGCTTGATATCATCTTCTCGTTCACGAAAGCATACTACATCCTGGACGAGCTGTTGTTGGCAGGAGAACTGCAGGAGAGCAGTAAAAAGAACGTGCTACGGTGTATATCGCAGCAAGACTCGCTCGAGGATATGGAGGTACGTTTGCTGCATATTGCTTGCATGTTGCTTTGGTTGGGTTTGAACCGCGTGCTTCCACAACTATGACCTGCAGCTGCGCCACCGGCGAAGTTTATGGCTGACAATCTCCCCCCAATCCCACAGGTCGAGGACGAGGTTACAAAGATCATGTAACCCGCCTCCAGTGTGTAGCTACCCATGGATGGCGACACGATTCCCGACAACGAGTCTCGATCCAATCTACGAAATTCACATATACTTGACACTGGCTGCAAGAGGGCGTGCAGCTTTGACGAGCATTTGGCTAATGGGCGCTCTGCCGGTCATCCAGGAAACGGAAGAGATCACGTCGTCGCTCAAGAAAGTGGGCATCCTCTGAGGCGTTCAAGCCGATCGACCGTCGGTGGCAGAGTCAGAGGCAGATCGCGTTGGGGCGACAAGGCCGATGCGCGACAGTGGGACAACAGCACAGAGCAGGTGCGATGGCGGACGGAGGGGCCCGATTGGCCTTTTGTGTGCATAGATCTTGGAAGATGGAAAACCATCCTCTGCAAATATCAAGAGAAGATACATGGATTGGTGCAGGTTGGGCAGATTAGCATCCGCGAGGCCCGTTGGCTTGGAGCCGTGCCCAGACACGTCGCAGACGCAGACCACGGGGCCCGAGTCGGCGATGGTACTCGACGAGAGCTGCACCCCGGAAAAGGCATCAAAGCTGCTAATAAAACTAGTATTACGCCGCGAATGAAGGTCAGTTGTATGGGAAGCTGCAATTGTGCATTCAGACTGTATGAAGTCATGTCTCGAGATGGGGCGTCCAGCTTCACTCACTCGTGGCCTCTTGACGCCATCTCATTCGCCTGGAGATTACCGGCTGCGCCCCCCTTTCACGGCGAGGAGTGGAGCGGACTGTTCTCGGTCACGGGTGGTCCCCAACAAGCAAGAAACAGACAGGGACTGGACCCCGACTCCCTAGGCGGTCCCCCGCGAATCCGGTGCCAAGGACGACGCAGGCCGTCGCAGCGCAGTGCGGCAGCCCAGCAGGACCAAGATACGCTTTGTCACAGACTCCCCGTTGGCCCCGCCCCCGTCCACTCTCGGCTCCTAGCTTTGGGACTGGTCGATGGTCATCCGTATCTCTGATATGGTAATGCAGATGGGCCTGCCAACTTTCGCGGTCTGGCCATGTAAGTGCGATTGGGCACTTGTATGGCCAATACCTACCTTCCCTTACGGATACGGTGCCAGCAGACTGGGCGGGGACCTTGTCAGCCCGGAAGCCAACCTGCTGCAGCGACACGACACAGACCAGCACCAGGCCATAGTCCACACCCAGTACACCCCAGCGGCCCTTGGAAGGCGTCACCGCACCTCAGTCAGATCAGCCGAAGCTGCAACAGCACCACTGCCGCCGCCGCCAACTCTACCTTCCCGCCCTCTCCCGCCTGGTCTCTGCTTTAAACTCCTCCGTCACCCCATCCCTTACCCCTCCATCTCCCGACTTCAACAACACCTCACCAAAACATCCGTTATTTAGTAATGTCTGTCGACCAGATCACTCACTAGGCGCATCGCGTCTAGCCTCCGTTCCACCACTCGAACCGAACTGATCAACAGGGTCGAGTCGCACCTTGCCATAGCTTATCTAGAGCAGGCAGGCTACCGGCTTCCTCCAACGAACCAGACAGCAACCTCCGCCATCAATACCAACTTCCCATCATCGCGACGCATCATTTGCGCCTCATCGCGTATATCTGCATCACTCCGATTCTCTGCACATAGAGACACCGTCTTTCCGACTGCCGCCGCCCCTTTCCTATCTGGCGCGACTCAGAACCCCCGTGACATCATCCGACACGTTAGCACTACGGAATCCAACGGCTCCATCACAACCCGATCGCAGCGCGATACCGGCGATAAGCCAACACAGCCCCCGGATCTACAGCAAGGGAGCTCGTGACTTCGTACCTTCATTCTGCTTCAACATTCGAATGCCTTCTGTCCAACACTTCATATCACCACGTCTCCCGAAGCCCGGCCTCGACAACCCAAGATGAAGGTGCGCACAATCTGCTGCACAGGAAGGCAGCAGCGCGTCGCATCTCTGCGGCCATGCTAACCCCCATCATAGTATCTACCACTCCAAGATTTCGACGCCGTCACTGGCGCTCTGAACTTCAACACCCCCGACTGCAATGTTACCGGCGGATGCGATTTGTACACGACGAAATCGACCGGCTCAGATAAGAAGCTCTACAAGAACATCGACAAGGACCTGAGCTCACAACATGCTGCGCTTCTTAAGCTGGGCGCCAGCCTGTCACCGCCAGACCGCGAAGCCATGTTGGCTACGTCACCAAACATGCAAATGTTCTCGCACTCAAGCGCGTTCGGCCCCCTATCCGAGTTGTCAAGTCGTCGCACATTCGCTTATCTGATTGCGACTCTGAATGCGAGTCACCAACACTACGACTTTTCGCACGTCCTGAGACCAGGCGACTTTAAGCGGGAGAGAAACCTGCGACGCGTCATGGGAAATCTCGACTCGATCCTGCAGAATGTGAGACCGCATGTCGAGGCACGCCCGGTCGAGCAGGCCACATCTTCCGAGACCAAGGCGGTCTGGGGCCCACAATGTTGGGCCAAGATCGATAAAGAGATGCGCCTCAACGAATGCACAGTTTTCAGCTACAACCCGGATGTCGACCCTTTTGAGGAGGACGAATCAGCCATATGGGCAGCGCACTACTTCTTCTTCAACCGCGCCTTGAAGCGTGTCGCTTATCTCTACGTGCGCGTCGTCCCTGTCGTCTCATCACAATCACCTCGCCTGCAGCCGGCGCTTCCGGGATCTGTGAAGCGCCCGCGAAGTACCCAGTTTGATGCGCTCAGTGCAAACAAGCGCGCCAAGTACTGGCTTGGTGATCGCGATGCTGAGGTTGTCGCTCCTTATGAGGACGACGAGGAGCAAAGCGACGGCTTCCTCTGGAATCGAGGAGCCGACGGCGATCTGGTCCCCTTCTCAGACGACGACTACACTGACGAACATTTCTACTACGACGAGGAAGAGGACGATGACAGTGTGTCGGACCGGAAGAGCCCGGTTCGGCGCATGAGTGAGGACGTCGTGGCCCACATGGAGATCTAAAGAGGAACCACTCCCCACTCAGCGTGAGTCCGCATGACTCTTATCGCCTGCCCCGTTTCATCAATGTGAGAGTTCCGGGGCTCTCGTTTCTCTGATTCCACCAGAGGCATTTATGACGCAAACGGAGCTTATTTGATTCAACACTCTTCTTATCAGAGCACTACATGGTTAGTTCTTCTCGCCGAAGACTCACGATGGCAGTCTCCACCCCGGAGCTGTCGGGTCTGGCTTAGCAACGACACCGCGCCATCAACGGCCCAATTGTTGCATGATTCTTTTCCTCGTTTCCTAATCACGTCAGTTTTCAATTAGCAATTGTTGATTTGCTTGCTCTTTTCTTTCACTGTTTTTTGTACGCTGGCGATTGTAGTTTCTGCTCGTGCTCTGTTTTTCGATATTTCCTACTTGTACTCGATTGCGGTGATACCCTCAAATGCTTTCTCGCCAGGTGGCGCTGGCTGGGAAACGGTAAGCTACAGGGAGGGTTGCAAAGGTGTGCAAATTTAGGTCCTGGATGGCAAACGGGACTCAAACGGGTCGGGCACGAAATGGAGTTGGACATGATCGGGTCCCTCGGTCGATGGCAGCGACTGGGCGGATAGTGACACCGATTGGAGTTTGGGGTTTTTTATTGTTCAAGCAGCTTTCTGGTTTTCTTACTCATTTCTTTCTGGTCTGTATTACGCAGTGATGAAAATGAAAGTACGAGCGGTACTCAACGTACATGAATCCCGCAATGATGAAGCACTTTTTATGGCCTCTATGGCACCACGACGTCCGAGATACTCGTCTTGCTACGCCATCGTGCTGTCCGCAGGCGTAGATGAACACAACCCGGCGTGACCGTTTCGACTCTCCACGATGTGCAATCTGTCATATCTGCCCACGGCCAACCTGCCCCCTCGGGCCTCCACCACCACAATCCACTTGGGAGGAGGGGACCCGGTGGGACTCAGTCGAGATGCCGACGTGCTCCGCTCATCCGAATGCGGAGATTCCGAGAAGGCGGGGATAGAGAGGGGGGCCAAAACCAAACCAAACCAAACCAAACACCATCGCGGCATCGGTATCCGCACCCGAATTCCCCGGGACCCGTCTTCCTGCATCTATCTCTGTTTAGCATGGTCCACGATCAGCGGTGAACATGAACAACAACAGACTGACGAGGCCAGATACGGCAGGTCCTAAAAAGCATGGTAAGAATTATGATGTCCAATAGCTGCGGAATTCCATGCGTGCTGTTGAAAAAAACACATGGCATGAGAGGACCCTGGGCGATTAATACATCAATGAGATGAAAGATGGCAAACGAGTTTAAGGGGGTGATTAGAAAACGAAACCGATGAAAGCATTGGTCCGCCGTAGTTACTCTCGCCATTAAGGTATATGTCCAAAAAGGAAGGTTCTCCCAAGGGACGGAATGTGTGCCACGTCGTGTGTCTCTCTCTATCTTTCCTTGCTTCCGTTTCGCCGCCTTGTTTCCCTTTTCCAACCATCAACTCGCTTCGCTCCCCGTGTCGTTTGGCGGGGAGGAGGAGGATTCATGCGTCCCGGATATCGTCGTGTACGCCCGGAACGCCAACCGCACTATATGACAAAGAATCGTGATCTGTCTGCCTCCCGCTCCTCTTAACATGTGGTAGATGCTCCATCCTCTCCAAGTCTTTCATCTCTCCTCGCAGGTTTGCAAAAGACCGAAAAGCAGTCTTGTTTGACGCAACTGTCCCAGCCCATTCAATGCATCGTTCCCAAAGAAAAGCATGTATGCTAGAGGCGGGACGTTTGCCTCGGTGCCCTCCTTGAGCAACATCATTACGAGTACAAATCTGGACATAGGGAAGCAAAATACAACCATAGAACGCCATCACTCCAACTTTTTGTTTGAGTCGCTTCCAAACGAAAGGAAAGGGGGAATCCTATGCGAAACAACTAGTAATGCAGCGACTGAAAAAAACACGATAGAAAACTGTCTGCTTAAAGTCGTTAAACGTCAATCACATCCCCTTCTCCGAGAGGTGTTGTTCTGATGAAGGCCCGTTGGCTTGACCATTTGCCTGGACTGGCAATATAGCGTCTATCTTTTCGTTCACGGTCTCCTTATGGACTGCTGAGCCGTTGGAAGCCTTCTGCGGAGTTGACTCTGGCGTCGTCTTCCTTGTCTGGCTGATCGTCTCGGGCTCCTCTGGAATCGTCGCAAACTTCTTCAGCACCTGCTTCAGAGCAGGCCTTCTGATAGGCTTGCTGAGGAATTCGTCCATGCCACTCTCAATGCATTCCTTGACATTGCTCTCCTCCGAGAATGCCGTCAAAGCAACGATGGGTGCCTTGTAGCCCATTTGACGGATGAGCTTGGTGGATTGTAAGCCGTCGAGGTTTGGCATCTGGATATCCATAAAGATGACGTCGAATCGCTGATTTTTGTCCATGTTGGCCTTGACAAGGTCGTATGCCTCCTGCCCATCTTTGGCGATTGTCACATCGTAGACTGCTTCCAGCTTGAGCATCTTGCTCACAACCTCGATGTTGGTCGAGTTGTCGTCGGCAACGAGGACCCGTAGCTTTCCGCTATTTTCGCCCTTGGAGGCTATTGCGGCATCAATCGCCGCCATCTGGGACTCCTTCGTGTTCCTCTTTGTTTTTGGTGCGGGATTCGACGCGAAAAACGGCTGGCTGAGACCGACAAGTCTGGGCTGTTGCTCCAACAGGCTCTTAGCCGTTGTCTCGCCAGCAGGCTTGATAGGTGTATGGTTTCCGCCAGAGTTGCGTTTAGGGTCTCGAGGTATATCTGAAGGCTCGATTGTATCGACGCTGGGAGGCCGAGACTTAATGCTGCTAGATGCCGTGCTCGAAGTTCTACAGGGTGTTAGCCTCAAGATTTCCCCCGTTGATGGAAAACCTTACCTGTCCTTGACATATTTGAGAGGAATCTGCATGGTAAAAGTCGTACCAACGCCAACAGTGCTCTTCAACGTGATGGAACCGCCCATAAGGGTTGCGAGCTGGTGACAAATACTCAAACCCAGACCAGTGCCACCGAACTTCTTGCTCAGGCCGAGGTCACCTTGCACAAAGGGTTCGAAGACCTTTTGTTGCATGTGTTCTGCGATGCCTGGGCCAGTGTCCTCCACTTCGAACTCAAAGATATACGACTTTGCGCCTGGCGGTGGCGGCGTTGGAGATCGTTCTCGGATGTGAATGTGCGGGCTTGACTTAGGCTCCATTGGGTTGATGGTTAGAGCAGTGCCTTTAGGATTCTCGGTAGTTGAGTTGGCTCTGGAGCTTGTCGAGTTGTTCGAGCTGGAACCGACTCGGTGCCGAGACCTGCCGTGTCTCCGCGATTCCTTAGAAAACGAAGATGAGCGGCTCCCTTCCCCATTAAGTGCTGGGGTCTCTGCCTCGCCAATGCACTTGATCCGCACGTCGACCCTACCGCCAGCCGGGGTAAACTTCAAGCTGTTACTAACGAGATTGATGATAACCTGGAGAATGCGATGCGTATCGCCCCAAAGGCACATGTCCTTCAATCTGCCAGTACCGTGAGGCCCAAGAGCTGGTAGTCTTGTGTCCATGCTTCTTCTTTCGGGGCTTAGTTCGATCACATCAGATGCGAGGAAGTTGACATTGAGAGTGATTTTGCCTTCTCTGACTTGTTTGTCAAAAATGGTAAGAATCTGTGACCGGATGTCTGCCAACCGGAATTCCTTCTCTTCAAGACTTAGCTGCTGGCCGATTTGGTTCTTGGAAAAGCTGAGGAGATCCTCAAGGAGATGAAGCAGCAAGTCACCTAAGACTGTCAGGAACGTTCACGACAAGTGGGGAAATGGAAGCTTACCTGACTTGTAAAGCGTCTTGAGAGACTGCTTGATCCTGAGAATATCGTTCTCTTCCATACAAACGGCACACATTCCTAGAATTCCATTGAGTGGCGTCTTTAACTCGTGAGAAATGTTCGCAATAAAGAGCGTCTTGCTTTCATTAGCAGCTTCGGCCGCCTTCTTGCTGATCTCGAGTTCTCGCGTCCGCTCAAGAACCTTCTGATCCAGCGACAAGTATTGCTTGACCAGCTCGTCGCTCATGTCGTTGAAGGTCTCGGTCAACTCGGTGAGTTCGTCGGTAATGAAATGCTTCCTGTCCGTGACCTTGCCAGGAATCTTGAAAATGCGACGGGTTGAGTCGCGGTCGTGTTCGGACGCGGGCTTTTCCTTTGGCTTGTATCCGACAAGCTTGTATACCGCTGCAATGATTCCATCCTTTCTCGAACGCCGGGATCGCGACGAGATGGCACCGGATCCGGGGGTTTCGTCGTCATCTAAGTCGTCCCAGTCGCCATCTTCGTAGCCTGGTGGTTGGACTGTCTTCTCTGTGGCCGACTTGAGTCTGCGGATGGGCATGACACTAAGGTGCGCGCATGGGAAAATGAGAATGATTATCAGACCTGCTGTACCGAACACACAACCTAGAATGATATTCCGGAGCGTGTCTATCGGAGCGTCTGCTTCAGACTTTGCCTGCTCGACAATGACGGTCCAGTTGACGAGGGCCGTGTTGGTTCTCGCAAATCCAACAGCAACAGGCAGTCCTTGCTCGTTGTGCGTCGACAGCAGGGAACTGGAATTATTTGGCGAAACAAACTTTTTCGAGAAAGAGTCAAAGACTGCTGGGTAGTCCTTCATTGGGAAAGGCTCATCATCCTTGCTGCTGGACCAGCTGCGCTCCTCATGTCGATCGGCTTGTCCTGACAACGGGTTGGGCGGAAGCACAAACTTGACCGGCACGTCCCCAAAGGTATCTCGGTTGGGAAGATAGGTAGCGTTGCTGGCTGGCTGATTAATTGGGAACCTATTGGACGAGTTCGTTGGCCCGACAAGCAGGACGAGACCGGTGTCTCCAAGGCCCTCCCGCGAGTTGCGCACACTGATCAAAGAATTCGCCAGGCAGACGAGCGTCATGTAGCCGAGAATAAAGTCCGGCAGATCGTTGTCGCGGATGGGAACAGTTATCGATATGAGAGCCGCACTCTCGTTGAGAACAAGTGGGCCAAGGAGCAGACCACCATTAGTAGAAAGACGAACGTCGGGGAAGGCATACGCAGAGAAGGCCCTGGTATTGTTTCTGTATGGGTTTTGGCGGCCGAGATCCGCGTAAGTGATGTTTGGGTAAAGATCCGGGGGATAGCCCTCTGGCGTATCCGAGAGCAGGGTCCTGTTGCCGCTTGCAGTCCACGGCAACTCGATGTCGGGAATGGAATCGCCCGTCACGTTTACAAGACCATACTTATTACCCGTGGTGTTACGCGAGTATAGTCTGCCCTGTAGCAATCCAGTGAGAGAAACCACACTAAGGGCACTCTTGAGGTCGGCCTTTGCATTGTCCCAATTTGAATCGCTGGTGCTGCCATTGTAGAAAGAGTCGAGGGACTTCTGGATGAGAATTCGCGAGGAGATGGTGGTGACGCTGGTCTGAACGAGCTCGAGCTCGGAGGAAATACGAGATGCCTTCAATGAGGCAGTAAGAGCAAGTTCACGCCCTTCAACCTGGGCGACGAATTGGTTGACATAGATCCAGACAGGAACGGACAGGATCATCAAGCCAACAAGAACAGCAATCACCACGAGGAAGGCGAGCTGTTCTCGAATGGCGATCCTGATGCCCATTTTCGAAACAGACTATAACGAGGAGTCTGGCGCGGTCTGGGCGGCATTCATCGTCTGCAGTGGTGAACCCTAGATCCGACTCGAGCAATGTTTGGCGATTTTGTCGTGACGGGGGATGGAAGTCGGAGGTTTTGTTGTTGTGCTTGGCACGCGGGCGCCCAAAGGCGAAAGCGGTTGTGTTGTGAGGTATCCGCAATTACCAAAAGTTCGTTTCCGTTTGATCGAGGTGCAGCAGCAGCAGCAACCGGGGAGCCGTGTCTGTCGTTAAATTGCACAGGGAAGGGTGACAACGGCGGCCCTCGGGATGCGCTCCTGGGTCGGTATTCGCTTTGGAGACGGCGAGCTCGATCGTTCGGTTGGTCGTCGAGGAGGCAGAAGATTTGCAGACGCGGCCAGGACGTCGTCTTCTCGTCTCTCGGTCGGTTGAGGTGGAGGGTAAAATTGGTAGAAGGAAATGGGCTGAGGAGGGCGAGGAGAAAGAAGATGAGAGACCGCTGAGGGTGGAGTCGCGGGAGGAGCTGGGATCCAGGTCCCATTGAGACCAGGTCCAGGGTAGGCACACTGGAGGTGCAGTGGAGAGTAGAGGCTGCAGGCGCAATGGGAGTACTTGGCGGGTACGTATCGTTTACCTGAGCTCACTCAGGTCTAGCGCTTCGGACGAGGCAAGGTGTGGTGGTTGCTGTGTTCCCTTCAAACAGTCCAGAACGGCAAGGACGAAGAAAGGTTGCGAGATGACCAAGACACCACGAGCGAGAAGAGGTGCAGCTGAAGATTCAGACTCTGACTCGGAGAAGCTTCTTCTGCCGTTTGTCTGTATCACGATACCGCCGGAACTGGAGCGGTTTGTCTGTGTTGCGCATTTCTAGCTACCTACCTGCCTACCTTGCCTTTGCTAGCTATCTAGATACCTCCGCGAGCTGCTTTAGCTGGCTGTCATCGAGGCCAGCGACCTCAGGGACGGAAGGGACGGAAGGGACGGGCTTCAGTAAGCCAGGACAGAAGACGGGCTACCGCGTCCTTGGTACCTTAGCGCCAAGTATCACACACGTGTAGAGGACGCTACAGCGTAGCGTCTCGCAAGGGCGAAGGTTAGGGGAGAAACGGGCTTGCTCAGCCCTCGACTGCTGGCTGGCAACTTTCGTGTCGTTTGGCGCGGGCGTAGGTACGACGGCCGTCGAGAAGCATTCACGTACGCGTCTGGGGGATAACATGGCGGACAGCATACGTGGGTGGCCGCGCAAAGCACGGGACTACGAGTGCCGTGGCTGCTATTTGCGGCTGCAGAACTCACTCAGCACGGCCATCTAGACGGATACACGGACGACAAGTCATCGGCCGAAGATTGATCGTCTCTGCTGAGGGAAGGACGAAGCCCGTCGTTGTCGTCGTCGATGTTTTGGTTCAGTCGGAGAATCGGGAGATGTACGAAGAACGACGTGGTGGAACGGTGGCACAAACGAGCTGGGTTGAGCGGGAGGAGGAGGAGGAGACAGCTTGGCGATGCAGCAGTTCCCCGGATCGTCGTCGAGTGGATGTGTTTTGAATTGATCATGGCACTGGCTGACGACCGCCATTGACTGGCCAGGCAGTGACTAGGTAGGTGAGGAAAGGAGCACGGCCAGTATTCTTTCTGTATCGCATCTACACAGTACCTTAGGTAGGTAGGTAAGTAGTGGCCGGATTGGATGCAAGTGAGAGGAAAGGGATGTACTCAGCAGGTCACTCTCCCGCACAGCGATCATCGATCAGCGGAGTCAAGAAGTCAATTCGCCCAAACGCTGCTCACGTTCGACAGGGACCCCTCGTCCCATTCGTGTCCTGGGGGCCCTTGGAAGTCCCGACGGGGGAGCGGTCCACGGGCATCTAGGCCCTTCCCAGACGTGCCCAGGGGACCCAGACGGGAAGATTCGATAGGTTGCCCACGGCTGCCACGGGGGGCAGAGGCCAAAGAGTGGGCAATGCACTGCACACTCAAACAGCGAGGAACACGAGGGATGGCTTTTTTCTTTCCAATTGCATCCTGCATCCATTCACCATTCAGCACTCAGTCGCGGTGCCTCCCGTCCAGTCCTCCATCGCCTCCCAGCTGTCGTTTCCCACTTCTTCATCGAGATCGTGCTTCGACCGGCTGATCGAACATCGCCCCCGTCCACGTCTTCCCTATCTACGGATACAACTCGAGCCCATTCCGGCATGGCAGACCACGGTCTCGCTAGGTCGTTTCCCATCTGTCCCTCGCCCAAAATTCTCCCCATCCCCGAATTCCATCTCCCACCTCGCCCTCGCTCGCTTCAACCCATCATCCCTACCCTTGTCCTTTCCACCCATTTCGCCATCCATCCCCATCCATCTTCCACCACGTCCCCCTGTCCTTCACCACCATCCATTATGCTGCCCGGGCCTCACAAGTAACCACCACCGGCGACCGCGGCCTAGCCAGAAATGCTCCGGAGATGAGGCTACAAATGTGGGCAAGGCACTCCAAAGCTGCGACGGGAAGTCAAAACGCCTCGGATGAAAGCGGCTCTCTCTCTGCGCGGTGGCTGCAGAATCTCACCAGCCTTCCCTTCCCGCAAACCTTCTGTTCCTCCATGAACAAAAACGGGAATGCGTCAGCCTGTCCGGGCTAACTCGCCGCCCATCGTATGAGCCGTCACATTCTCGACCGCCGCCAGCAGCGGGGGAGTTGCATTCTGGAGAGACCTACAATCGGCTGACATTGCTAGGTACGCAGTGTTACACTACACTCGCCGCCGCCGCCGCCCTATGGACACACTGAGTGACTGACCACACACGTACAAGTCGACTAAGGTAGCTCAACAGTACCACTGGCGCCTCCCGTTCCGTTGCATGGAGCAGGGTCCGAAAACAGCTTCAATAACTACCCAATTTTTCAATAACTACCCAAGCAATGCACTACAAGTCAGCATGTCGAGATCTTACTCGTCATTCTCGGAGCTTCCAACGACCACTCAACACGCGATGTTGCTCCACTGCGCCGCACTTCGCCTGCACCCATTTATCCAGGTTCTCCCGGTCTGCCCACCCGCTTTGCTGTCGACCTCACCGAGACTCGAGCGCTTCTCGCCGAGTCCACCGCGGCACCTCCGACCTACTCAGACTTTGCCCTCCTCGCTCTCCGCTATCCGGGTCCCGTCCCTCGGCATTTCCCTCCCACACGCCTCATCCGCGTTTCACGGCACCAAGAAAATTCTCGGCGCTTCAGAGGAAACAATTTTTCCACGGCGGCACTTTCGCCGAATAAACAACACTCGCTCGGATCACCAAACGCATCGTCTTCAGGTTCAAACATCTCTTAAATTTTAACAAAGAAGAAGAAAGTGGTGTATCGTCAGTCATTACAAGAGTCATAAAGCCCCCCTCATCCCTGTCATGTTCCCATTCCGTTCCCGCCTGACCCGACTCTCCGGAGCCTTTGGGTTTGTTTCCTGTTGCCTTTCCTTTCCGACAGCCAAGTCCCAAATCCGTCCGAAAACATGGATCCAATGCGCCGTCCTATTTCCCGACTTACATTAGGTAACAGATAACAGAATGTACAGGTGTTTCGTCGTCAAGTCGATGGGGCTTTTTTCTGGGTGTGGTTGTTTTGTTTTTGTTTGGGTATTCATCATGATCTCGTAAACATGAGCGGGACCAGCGCAGACTGGCTGGACATGGCCCGGTCGTCGGGCAGCACGCTCACGAAGCTGCGTCCAAAGAAGCCCTCTCTGAGCCTCGTCTGCATGCTGCAGTCCTTGGGTGGGCCTGGCGTCTTGCTCCTGAACTCCTTGGAGAGCTTCATCAATACCGCCGCCTTGGCCTTGCGAAGCGCGCTGACCCGCGCCGCCGCATCCTCGGCAAGCACGCGGTGCGCCTCCTCTTGCTCGATGTTGCGTTGCACCGACGAGATGCAGTCCTCGGGATCTGAAAGTCGGCTTGCGTTGGGGTCGTACACAGCCGGCTGGAGCAACACCGGGTGCGAAGAGGTATCCTGAATAGGCGCCGAGATAATGGGCACCGGCGTTGACGGACGGAAGACATCGTCCTCTTCCGGTACCGGGGGCGGTTGTCGGTGGTGCTTGTGCTTGCGGTGGCGGCTCTGGCTTCTGCTCCTGTGATGCTTGGAAGAGGAGGCCTCCTTTTCCCTGCCTCCATCGTCCTTGCGGTGCTTTCTGCGTCGGTGCACGCGCTTCTTCTTGAGTATTGTGCTGAACGATGTGCTGGCCTCCTTGGCAGCCGCGACATCCGGGTCCAGATCCTCGTCCAGACGCTCATCCAGACCATCGTACAGGTCATAGTGGTCATCTTCATCATTAACGTATAGTAGCTCACTGCCGAGGTCAAAGTCGAGCAGCTCGCGGGTAGCCGCCGCGGCCGCAGCCGACGGCGAGGGTAGGTCAAAGTCCTCGTGGGACGGCTCCGAGTGCAAGCTGCCTGCCTCGGAGTTGTTTCTAGAGTGTGAGTGCTGGGACCAGAGGTCGCTCTTGGAGGACACAGGCTCCATCAGCGGGGCAAGCGCCTCGTCCCAGCTGCCGCCGTTGATGAGCACGACATTGTCGAAGTCGAACTCCTTGACGGTTTTCTGGTGCGCGTCGACAAGATCCGCAAGTTGCGGCGCCGTCATGGTCGCGTTGCGCACCTGCATGTACCGCAAGCGCGGGAAGTGCATAGGCTTGCGTGCAGGCGCCGGTGGGAGGGGGGACATGGGCGACGTGACCTCCGCGAAGAGTTTCTTGCAGTTGCGCGGGGGCGCGAAGAGAGGATCCGCGGAGAGGGCGATAGGGTTGGGGCCCTTGGGGCCGAGCCAGGTGAAGTTGAGCTTCTCGAGTGTGCCGGAGAAGCCGCGGATGTAGTCGTCGATGATCTTGAGGTGGTCCAGGCCGGGTGACGGGCCGTAAAAGTCCCACGCTTCGACGGAGATGCTGAGCTTGCGGATCTGCTTCCACCTACGGCCCGCCGAGGGAACGGCGCCGAAGCCGGGGACGTGGCGGAGGTAGTTGAAGGCGGAGGGGTGCATGCCCGACAGGGACAGCTTGATGAGCTTCTCGAGGGGCGCCCGCTCGACGGCGATGCGCAGGCTCATGAGGGCGTAGTCGACAATGTCCCTGCGGTAGCGCTCCTGGGGTCCCTGGCCAGGGCAGCGGATGGTGAGGTGGCGCAGGTTGGAGAAGTGCTTCATGGCGTTGATGAAGCTGGGCACATTGGTGGCGGCGTGGAAGAGGGGAGGGTACTGCTGGGTCAGGATCTCGCCCAGCTCCGTGTTGGCGTACTTTGGCCTCGCGAGCACCGAGGCCATGCTCGTGTGCGGGGTGTACAGGAAGGAGATCTCGCGGCCGGTGGCGGGGTGGATGAGCGGCGGCAGGAAGGTGGCGTCGGTGTGGGCGAAGTGGAAGTGCAGGTGTTCGATGTGGTGTCCGACGCGGGCGAGGGCTTGGAGTCGGGAGGGCTTGGTGAAGGTGTTTGCCGTGAAGGTGACGCGGACGCGGCAGAAGAGCGGCTTGGTCGCGATGTTGCAGCAGGCGGAGCTGGCGAGGCGGAGGGAGGCGACGTCGGCGCGGGGGAGGAGGTCGAGGACCTTTTGGCCTAGGTGGGAGTTTTCCCTCTGCCACAGGCACAGTAACGGGGTGTGTTGTTGCTGGGCCATGTTGATCTCATGTCGTTGCGGTGGCCGCGATCTAGAGTTCGTTCTGTCCTTTCCTCCACTAATACAAGCTGATGGCTTTGATATGGATCCGTTTGTCCCTTGTTCAACCCGGAGTCGTATGACTATAGTGGGATGAAGGGTTGAAGAGGAAAGTGAGGTAGATGGAGGGGATATCGGGTGGGATTCAAGATGGCTAAAAGTAAGATTTTAGAACACAATGGACCTTTTCTGGCAATGGCGAATGAGGGTATTCAAACTTTTTGGGTTGCTCGATTAAGTAAAGTTTCACAATATGAGACGTCTGAACGGGAGTGAGCTATCCAGTCAGACTCGTACAAGTCGTTCGCCTTGGGGGAATGGAAAACCGGGATTGGTGAGAGATGAGAAAGAGGTCTCGAAAATCAGGCCAACGAGGTGGTGGGATGCGGGATGTCTTTTCCAGATATACGTTGGGATGGGACAAGGGGACTGATTCGACTTCGGACGAAGAGCAGCAGCAGCAGCGCACACACAAACTCTGAAAACCACCAAAAAAGGCTGATTGAGCTCCTTCTTCCTGTTGCTGCTCGTCGATGGAGCCTCTCTCGCGAGAGTTGGAACCAGCCCCCCCCTAGTGCGCATCGTCCCGTCGCCCCTCATAGGGAACGACTGGAAGGTGAGTCACCTCTGTCGAGACCTGCATATGCAGAGACTAGGTTACGGGAACCGGGGGAGGGCGAAAAAGCGTGGTGGTCCACGGGTCCACGGTTCCACGACAACAAGCGAGGGACGGCATTGGACGACCACACGTAGATGCCGCGCTCGTTACACGCCCCCCAGAGAGACGGGAAGTAAGTTGTCGTGTGTGGGATGCGGTTGTGTCTCGAGGTGTATGGTATGACAGAGCAGAGAAGAGAGAGACAATCCCGAACGGGCAAAGGTCGAGAATAGCGTGTCTGCGGGATTTGGTTGGTCGGCCTTGCGGTCTTTTCTTCCTGCTTGGTTGATCTTTTTTGATTCGGGAACAAGACTACCTTAGTTTGGATGCAGAAAGGCCCGTGGAAAATGCAGGTTCCCACGCCAGAGAGGCCCGTTTCATGTCGTCCCAGTGGTCGAGAGGCATCCGGCCATGAGACCGATTGTCCTCGTCCTGCATGCCGGCGCCCTGGTCTAGTGCCGGAACGGGGGGAGGTGTGTCTGCTGCCCATGAGCAAGGTAGCTCTCATCCGGCCCCATCGTCCGTCCGTTGCGACTCGCGATGGTAAACCTCGAAAAAGGAAAACGACAAAAATGCCTTGTGGACGGATGGGGGGGGAGCGATCTGCAAAGACTGGGGAGGGGACCAGCTGGGGGTCCGTGGGAGAAGCGCTATCGATAAGCAGCAGAGAGAAACGTCCCCAAGCCACACTTGCACGCTGGATCCCTGGCGTCAACAGGAGGTGATTGGTCGGAAACTCGAAAGGCTGGCCACATTTGGCATTTCGGGGCCGTGTGATTGGACGGACGCGGCTTGACGTGTAGACGTCGCGTGGCACAGAATAGACGCGTTGGCTGGATAGAAACGCTCCAAAGGTAAGCGCTGCCACTTTTTTTCTTGAGGATCCACCACCGCGCCGCCGGACGACGATCCGCCCTTTTTTGGCAGGGTATCGGGGCCAGGGAAGACCAGGAGAGTTTGTTTGGGTGGCGATGATGCTGTTTCGCGGCGCGGCGGTCTGAAGATGTCGAGCTAGGTCGGAAGCTAGAACGCAGACACACACACACGCGAGGTTTATTGTGTAAAGGCGAGTTTGCGGCTTTCCTGTCAAGGGTCCCTCTCATGTGGTATAGTTCGTTCCCACGGCACTAATGTCTTGAATCTCAGCATGGCATGAAGATGCCCAAACGCGCCTGGGAACGCCCAGAGCGCCTGTGGCGTCAGGACGGAGGAGGGCGTTGGAACGTCGCATGGGATCATCGCGACGGTCGATGATGATGATGATGATGATGGCAGTGGTGGTGGTGGTTGAGCTGCTGTTTCGCCAAGCACGAGAGGTGTCCCTTTGGCACCCCCGTCGCATCCACAGACACACTGCAGAGAGACACGCTCCACCATTCCCATCCGGTCCCTCCCAACCAACCCAGACGAAAAGTGACGACAGTCATGAGGGCAGAAAAGTAGGGCTGTGGCCAGGACGTCAGTCCCGTTTTTCGCTTCAGACGCACGCAAAATCGTAAGAAACGAAAGAAAAAATAGGGGTGTGGGCTCGCTCTCGTGTCCCTTGTATGTGATGCTTGCTGCTTGAGGATGCGGTTTACGTGTAAGTCGGGTGTGGTTTCTGGCCGGGACATGGTGCGGTGGGTGCATGAGGCATGTCATTGCAGTAGGACGGCACACGGGCTGGCTACTGCCAGTGGGCAGCAAAAGAAGTGGAAGACGAAAACCAAAAATTCAACCGTAACCCATAACCGTAAACCTTGTCCGGATGACAACCGACAGCAGGACAAACGATGACTCTTTTCTCCCCACATATTCTGCAAGCGCATGCTAGGTGCTGCATTTTGCATGGGAGGGGGGTTGCACGTCCGCGTCTGTCTCTCTCTCTGGCTGCCAATTGACCAGTGATATCCAACGCGCAACCACCATTCTTGCTGCGAATCCCGAAAGAGCCCGCGCCGGGACACGCTTACACGCCCCCCGGGTAACCCGTGCGTGGTAGGTAGAGTAAGGTACCCCACACGGCGCAGGACGCAGCAGCAGCGACCAGCAGCGGCAGCCACTCGACCACGCTCGGCCTGCATTGCATGTTGCTGTTGCCCATGTATGTTGCCCATTGCGAAGCCCACACGCAGCAGCAGCAGACCAAAAGCTCCCACAAGGCTCTCCCTCTCTCTGGTCCTTTTTGAATGGTTCGGCTCCGGTTGAAACGACGGGAACAAGAACCCCCGTCGCTGGCTGGCCCTCCGCCCAGCTTTCGTCAACCACCACAGTAACAAACGGGGCTGACACTGACTGCCACAACACTTAGTTTAGCACCATCACACACCACCACTTCTGATACAGCCAACGACTTACACCCGTATTTGTACAACGACAACAATGTCTCTCTCCTCAACTCAGTCCACCTCTGCATGACATACCATCCCATCACCGCCCGCCCCGTCAACTCCAATTCAGTCAATTCGGTAACTCTCTACGGACCGAGAAAGTCCAAGCTTATCTCAGCTAGACTTGTACAGAGGACACGGAAAGTCTCTACTCTGCAATACTTAACCGCCGCAAGTTCCTTCCCTTTCGCATATCCCATGCAGCATTTCGCAGCCATCCTGTCCCTCCACCCCAGCCCACCCCCATCCACAATACGGATACCGCGAAGGGTTGGTTTGTTCCCACAACCACGCAGGCCTTGACAAGACAACAAGCATACGGACAAGGGATGAAGAAGCATCTCTGGCGAACAGCCCGCCAGCCAGCCGCCCCCCGGCTGATCGTCACTCGTTTGTGTGTGTGCCGTGTCCACAGCGTAACTGTTGCTGGAAATACGAAAACGAATAAACGACCTGCCACCAAGGAGAGTCAAGAGACCGAGAGAGAGAAAAAGGTTCCCCTGGATATTCCGTCGTCGGGTCCTTCAACCACCATTCATCCCCATCGAAACCCCCATGCCTCGCCGGAAAACGCAACGCATCCCCCCTACCCTAGCTAGCTGGCATCGTCGTCAACTGCAGCCCCCGACACCGCGGACCCAACCCCTTGAACGTTGGCCGGGTTTCCACGGCAGACATATTCTGAACAGACATCATCGGGCATGGTTGACGGGGCCACGTCGTCGTCGTGTCCAGTCCCGTTTTCATCCTCGTCGGCGTCGTCGTCGTCGGTCAACCGCAAGCGAGACCCTCCGTCCCCCCCCTGGCTCGTTGTTCCCAAGGACGAGGTAATAGAAACCCACAACCCACGTTTTCCAGGATGTGTCTTGTCCTCAGAAAAAGGGTGGTCCGTCCCATCCCGACCACGAACACCCACATGCAACTTTTTTTTTCTCGATTTTCCAGGGTTTGCGAATATCAAAATTGGAACCGTCGGGCACATCACGACAACCACCACCACACAATTTATTTTCTGCTGCTCACCGACACTCCCGGGCATCGTTCGTCTACAGCCTAACGAAAGAGAAAGCTTGCCGGGCCCTGAGAACTATTGAGCACCCTCGAAATTTTCCCATGTCAACGTGGCTTGCCGAGGGACCACCACATGACTAACAACACCGCTTAAGCGCCCTGGGCCGAATTTTTACCTACATACCTGCCTATATCCAAGTCCAACTCACCCTCAACCCGCACATACTTACAACCCCGGCCCCGGCCCGCCGTCTTCGCCCTTCACCTACACTTTGAAATCCTCGTCTCTTTCCTTGCTTAACCAACACCCCCTAGCTCATCACGAGGATCAACGCATTTTTTTTCTTGCTGTTTGAAGCTCTGTAAAATTCTCCGACTCGGCCTGCCGTGCTAAACCGGGATATATGTCCTCTCTCCCCGGGTTCCCTTCTCTCACCGTAGGTTCCTTCGGACTGCGACGAAAATGAGCCGCCGGCAAGTCTTTGACGAACAAGGTAAATTGTCTCGAAAAATGTCGTCGTCGTGGTCGTGAGTCAAAGTGAGACCTTGGCAGTGCCCGTCGATTCGCCCTGAACCGTTATTATTTTTGCGTCTTTTCCAAGGATGGATGAGCGCGATATTGTGATTTACAGGGTGATTATTCAGAGGCTGGATGGCAGACGTTGCGACTTACACACATCAAGATATCCGACAGGGGGGGCCGATTTTCGCAAAGCAAGTCTCAATTATTCTGTGCGCAAACATGCCTGGGGGGGTATCAAAACTACACGAGAGCCCAGATTCTTTTTCCGTACTGCTCTGCTGGTCCTGATCTGATCCACACACTTTTCGATGGACGGAGGGTTCCACGTTTGCTCGCTTACCGCAGTCGCAGTCGCACTTGCAGTTGCAGTTGCAGGCCGGCGAGCAGCCGTCTCCGTCTC